GGGGGGGGGGGGGGGCGAGTGCGCCTGGCGTGACGTCCGGGTGGCTAAAGGCGTCGGCGTCATCAGCGGCTTCATTTAAGGACACATTCATAATGGACTTGCTTTTAGACGCAAAGTCGCAGTCGCGTAAAATTGCACACTCACGCACGCGTTTCGCGGAAGCTCGCTGGCTCTATTTACATCATTATACGAACTGTGGGGGTGGTGCTACCGCACCCACTTCACACTCACGCTCCGTTACCTCATATGCTACGCACACCGTTCACGTTCTCAGAATTTCATGTGATAATACTGCTAATAAAGAGGTATGGAACGGCACAATACTTTAGCTACTCTGTGAGTTTCTCTTGACTATCTCGTCTCAAAGACGTAGACATCGAGACGAGGGTAGGAGGGTGGTTATGTAAAGCAGACCGTAAGTTCTTGCGCGTGCGTTTTTCCGGGAAGGGATTGGACGAAAGGGTTTGGGATGTAGGGGGTGGGGGTGGGGCTGGTTGTGATGTGGGAGCGGCGCCGGCTAGTCCGCTCTCGGGGTCGCCGGCTCAGCCGGAGCTGCGTCGCGCTGCCCTGGCCCGCAGTAAGCCCGAACTGAGCTCCCCAACTTTTCAATCTCCTGCTCTTTTCCCGTTTTGGCTGCGAGGCCGCGGGGCATGCCGAGGCGACGCGGTGCTCGCGTCCCGGTGCCGTACTCTCGCCTGGGCAGTACATGTCTGTGTGGGTGCACCGAACGCATTGAGGATGACTGGCTTTCACAAGCTGAATTCTCAACTTAACGCGCCCGCGCCATGCAATACGTCTAAAAGGGGAGTTGCTAAAACCTGAGAGTGAGAGACAGAGGCAGAGAGACAGATACCGCACTTGCTGCGAGCTGCAGAGGGGCGAGGGGCGCTCAAAACATTTAGCTGCGCACCGTCCTTGTTTTGAATCTAAACAGCGCGTAGCGCGCGCAAACTGTGTGTTATTTCACCGGTGTGCTTATCGGCGTAGACCCTGCCACGGCACGCACTGAAAGAAAAGTCCCATCAAGGAATGGGTCGTAAACATAGTTCTGTAGCATTCATTAGAAGTGACGCAAGTCGACTTACGTCACAAACTGAGTTACAGGTTTTAAAACAGTGTTGTATATTTTAAACTGCATATGCACGTCTTTTTATAATTCAAAAAGAGACCATAATGACTTCTCAAATCAGCAACGGAAATCGACGTAAGTCAAATAAGCCAGGGACAGATCAAAGAAAAAAGCGCAAGTCTGACGTCACATCAAATGACGATTGAAACCTTGCAATTATTTTGACCTGTCACTTTCATAGAAATATTAAGATGACTAATTTTTTGCAAGTTAGGCAACCAGAACTCAACAATGATTTCTCTTTGAAATTCATTAGTCTTAGTTACTTGACTGGCGACACATTAGCCATCTAATAGTGACGCAAGTCGACAATCAGCCGAAATATCCACGATTTCATGACTTACGTCACTTCTACTGAATGCTACAGAGATAATACGAATATATTGATCAAACCTTGTTCGTTTTTTTTGGTACACTGTTCTCTCCTTTAACGAGCATTTGGTAGCTTTGTAATACAAAAATGATGTGCGTTGTATTACAAAGCATTAAGCAGGTGTAATAATACAAAAATAATGGAAAAAATCTGATTACGTACGAATCATCACTGCGTTCAAAGGCAATTCTCAATCAATTATTTGAAATTTTGTTTTATTGCATATTTTCACTGCGGTTGGCACAAGAAACCTATCTATACCACTCTCTGGCTGCATGACGTGCCAGGTCCATAGACCTGCACCCCGTCTGGTTATCATCATCACCCGCTGCTGACCCCAAACACCCACCGGACTCTTCTTCCTCGCCGCCTCAAACAAGCCCCTTACCACCCCCTCCTCGGCGAGTTCTTAATTTGAGGAGTTTTCCGCTAAGAATTCAGGCCACGGGGCACGGCCACGGCGTGACGGAGGGAGGGTGGGGGGCGCACGAGGAAACTTCCGGCGGACGCTCGGGCTCCACTCTGCCCAGCCCCACCCCAAGTTTGGGCGGCAAAGGGGCAGCCGGGTGAGGCCGCGAGGCTGCGAGGCTGCGAGGCTGCGAGGCTGCGAGGCTGCGAGGCGCCCGTGACAAGGAGAAGCGCACGCTGATTGCGCTCATCGATTGAGTTTGTTGTGAGATGAGCGAGTGGAGCGCGTGAGAAGGGCGGGGATAGCGATGGTGGTGCTTGCGTTGTGCTTCTGCGAACTAATTATGCCTTTCGTGCGCGATGCGAAAAGTTTTTGGCAAAGAGGCTGCTGCTGTATCGTACAGTTATCCTCTTCCTGAAAGCACCCACCCGAGCGCCCACCAACCTGAAGTGTTGTATAGCAGAGCGGGGAAAGAGCCCATCCCCTCGGCGGAAATGTGCGACAAATGACGTAAAGTGGTTGAAACTTGTGCGCGACCCGCGCGCTGTTGGAAACAACTCATCAGCTATTTTATTCTTTGACGTCGCTTTGTGCTTTCGTTTCTGCGGACACGCAAAAATTCTTGTTGGGGTCACACGGTCACACGAGCATTTCCCTTGATACAGTATATTTTGTAAGCTTGGCTAAGCGAAGTGCATTAAAATAACAGAAGATGTCACAATATTGTTTGATGGCGTGTAATGAAATTTCAATGGCGTGTAATTAAATCGAATTAAATGGCGTGCAATTAAATTTAATAACATTGTTCTTAAATTAAGGGTGTCATTGAATTTCATGACAAATTCATTAAAATTAATGTTTACTGCGTTATGAAATTTCAAACATTTTTAACAGTGAAATATGGAACAAAACTATAAAGAATTAGGGTCCGGCTCGTAGGTAGGCAACTGATTGTGCTCATTGAAAGTGATATAGATCAGGGGGGGGGGGGGGGGTCACTTCCAATTACTCCGTCTTTGTAGAGAGCCATCGAAGGGATATGGAATTGGTCTCAAGATTCCTGTATGTGCATTTTGGCAACCTACCGTGCACCCCCCCCCCCCAACTTCGCCACTTTACTACGAATTCAAGCATACACCAATTTTTCTTAATTTTTTGGTTGATTTTCTTCTGGTTTTCCCTTTTTCTGATATTTTTCTATTTTTTTTCTCTGACTTTCTTTTCTAATGTTTTTCTAATCTTTTAATAATCTTTGTACTTTTTCCTGGTGTTTTCAAAAGAGCGTACCCTTATTTCTGTTCACTGAAGTGCCCCACCGCCACCTTCAAACCCTCCTGCCAACCGGACTTTCAACCACGATCCGGTCTGGCTGGGTCACTGTAATCACTATCATAGT